AATATTGAAGAAGATGATTCTATCATTTTTGTAGATGTACCTGGTAATATTTTTACACACATGTATTATTTAGTTTTGTCTTTTGCTTTTACATACTACCTTTTAAATTTTCGTCAATGTATCATATTTACTGTTTCTTGTTTTATTGTTTTTTATCTCTTTTTTTGTCTTTCTAATATTCACACTGTTTTCTTTTGTCACTCTTACTAACACTTAATTGTTGCAGGATATCGCGTCAACTACGATCGTAAATCTTGGAAGAATATTGCTCTCTTCTTGAAACGTACATCTAAGATGTTGTTCTTATCTGACGTCTCATTAGCTCAAATTCTCGACAATGCCTTTTATTTTTTAGTACAAAATACAGATTATAATGAAAATTTTCATTTAAATAGTACTGATAATCTAGACATATTTTTTGATATTGCCAACAGTGTATTTTACGTGAACAATTCCTACATAGCTTGGTATCCTATATTTACTGCTTTTGAGTACTTATCAATGCTTTTCTTGTTTTCAGAAAGTGCATACATCAAGGTAAATAGTACTAAATTAATAAATAAATTAAATGCTAAAAACAGATAAAATTAAATGATAACTGAGTTTCTTAAATTATTCTTATAGTATAATCTACCGAACTTTGTTACATTAGTTTGTACTTTAGCAATCAATACACAAAAAATTTTGTATAAAAGATTATAAATAAACAAATTGTTTGAAACATAAAAATCCAAATCAAAAAGAGACACAAGATAAAAAGATAAATTATTAATATTAGATAAATTATTAATATTAGAAAAAGTTTGTTGACAAATATGCCCGTAAATATGTTGCAAAAACCCCTGTAATACATTACACAAATAGTAAATAATATTAGGTATCTGGCTTTTTCAAAAATGTATAAGTTCAAGATAAAGAAGAAGAAACATTTACGTGTACATAAGCGTTTGATAAAAACAGTGAAATATGATTCTGTATGTATTGAACAAGTTTCTTGAGTATTCGTTGCATACACCTTCTTCCAAAAATAATGTCATTAATCACTTATATTACGAAGTGTTAAAATGGTCGTGTATTCACGATAGCATAAAGTGCAAAGATATTGTTATGGCTCAATTAACGTGGCACATACAAAATCCTGCATAAAACAGGTACGTTATTGACTTAATAGCAAAATAATAATATTAAAGTCGTTACCTGATTGTAGTTATGTTGTTTTACGCTTATATACGATTATCACACAACTTTTACATTGTTCTTATTATTGTTACTATTAGTATTTTTGTTGTCGTTGTTGCCCTTGTTGTTACAAAAAAAACATTATCGCGACTAGTGATTTCTTTATTTTCTTCTCTCTCTCTTCTTTGAGTAAAGGTATATATATATTGTTTCTTTGCAGACTTTTGCCAAGTTGGCAGAAGTGGATATTTTGCCAGAGTTTAATGATAGAAAATTTCTTGTATGAAAACTCTTCTATATGGTATACACTAAAAACCATGTATGAAACGCAGTCAAAGGAGGAAGAAATGTTTAAATTCTTACCTTGTGTTAAACTTTGCATATTCGAATATTTTCTTATTTTTTAAATTTTTTGCAACGACTTTTTTACTATTTTGTGAACGTATTGTAGATTTAAAGAAAAGTGATAGAGTTTCTTTTTTTTTTAATATTTATGCGAGGCAGTCAAAAACTCTTGCGTTGCTGAGGTCTATACTAGAAGAAATACGTAACATAGGAAGGTAAACCATTCTTTTTGTATGTGTATAGACTTTTGCATATTTACATAATGTAGTTACGTTCTATATAGACTGCATATGAAATCCATGTGCCGCATATACGATGTTGTATTATAATATATATGTTGTATTATAATATATATATGTATTATAATATACTTGTTACGTAAACAAATAAATTTTACATATTAGTTGTCATTGTTACTTGTAATAGCGACAATAACATAGATGCAATAATAAACTGTCTTATTAACAACATATATTCAGACGAAGGCCTGTCGATGGTACGTATA